AAAAGGAGGCATTTTGCCTCCTTTAACATGGATACATCGTCGTACTTAGTTGAAAACCAGGAAAAGGCGGCATTTTGCTTCCTTTATCGCGAAAGGGTTAATATTGTATGATACGTGATTATTCTGTACTAGATTTGCCATCACGCAGGCGCAATCTTGCACTGCAGTTTATCGATGTGAACAATGAATCGAGCACTTCAGATGGCGCGTCCATTGAATCGGGACTAGAAGGGAACGCTCCAGCAGTCGGAGGCCTAGATGTAACTGTCGAGGCCACGCAAGGTTAGTGGAACTTGTACGTACACCATAGTGATTGCTATCTAACATGTATCTACGATATTACTGTACAGATGACCCGAATATCACTCCAGAAACAGACGACCCGAGCGCGTACACGCAGTTTGAGTCGGATGGGGAGAACGACGAGGGAGACGACGAGATGTCTTCTGTCGATGGGGATGATGAAGCCGACATGCAGTTACCAGTCCCCCAGAAATGCATTTCAAAAGTAGTATGATTTCCGGATTGGGTGGAATTGATAACATTGCTTCCGGTGAGGTGTCGGACAGCTTTCTGGAGGACATGGGTGTCCAGGGATGGTCCAACCTGGTTACTCACACTCCACACGACTACTTGATGGAGCCCTACGAGACTCGCTCCGTCAGCGAAGTGCAAGCGGACTACCCCAATCTGTTCACCGGCGTGTCTGGACCAATACCAAGGGCGCTTGCAGCCGCCATGACCCCGATGGGTGCCGTCTTCTACTTCATGCAGCCAGGACTGTGGGAAGAGATTGCTGACGAGTCAAACAACTATTTCGAGTCGAAACTTGAGGAACGTGTCGATGGTCAACACGCCAAGCAAGTGGCTCGCGAGAAAAAGCATCCCGAGTTCAAGAGGGGTTCTAAAGAAAAGATCAAGGCAGACCTTGTGAGGGCTGCGCCAATTACTGCTCGAGACTTGTGCGTCTTCATCGGACTGCTGCTTGCGCGCGCTATAGCTCCCAACAAAGAAAAGCTGGCGAACCACTGGCGAACCACAGACGAGGGGGCGATTCCTCACGGTTGTTTCGGCCGATACATGGCGCGTGATCGCTTTATGCATATTTCACGAAACCTTCACTTCAGCCCCAACGATGCCGAAGCTGCTGCTAGCGATCGGGCCTGAAAGTTGCGTCCGGTGATCGACGCACTTCAAACCCGTTTTTAAGCTGCCTTCATACCTCCTGGCATCATGGCCTTCGATGAGGCAATGCTGCCTTCGCGGTCAACGTTCAACAGAATGCGGGTGTACATGAAAGATAAACCTCACAAATGGGGAACTAAATTGTTCATGCTGTGCTGTTCTAAGACGGGGTACTGCATTCGGTAAGCGTCGGGTGTGTCTTCGGACACGCCCGCTTTTTTTATCACTAAGTTGTCTTATCTTGTACGGTACCCTCTAATCAAAACGTTATGGTGTATGGTGCAGTTTTGAAGCTTACCTGGGCAAGAAGGAGACGACAGTGAGCGCAAACTCCACGGACACATAATCTGGACCTGCTGCTGTTGTGCGTAACTTGCGGTACGTCTTCGGGCCCGTGGCTCTGACAACCGGTGAAATGCGATTAGTCATCACGGATAGGTTCTACTCGTCGGTACCGCTGTCCATGCAGTTACTGACAATGGGATTTTACAGCATCGGCCCTGTGCGTACTGACCGCAAAGGACTGAGCACAAAGATGATCCCCAAGAAGCAGAAGGGAGATAAAAAGAAGCCACCGAAGATCCCAAAGAATCGTCCATCCAACATTGAGTGCGGTACTTTTATTGTGTCGGAAGCTCTGCAGATCCAGCAGATGCGTGTATTGAGGTGGTGGGATACTCGAGCAGTGCACATGTTGTGCACCGGAGGCAGCGTGGGGTTCGACCGTATTGCTTGACGCGACAAACTGAGCGGGGAGCAGCGAGAGGTGGCGTGTCCGCGTGTCGTCAAGGACTATCAGACCTTCATGGGCGGCGTTGACGTACACGACCAGCTTTGCCTCCAAAGGTATGTTTCGCTAAACTGTATGTACACGACTTGAAAAAAACTAATGTTGTATGATACATGCTGCAGGTACTCGTTACAGCTCTGCATCAAGTACAAGAAGTACTACAAATCTCTGTTCCTTGGGCTA